TACAAACACCACCAACAACAACACGACGAGTACACAGCGGCCACTCAGGTAACGGCACTGAAACAACCGACACTTTCAGAGACTTTTAAAAGGAAAGAGAAACTACCCCAGAACAGCCAAGATAGCTGAATTCATCGCGTTGGATGACCAGCCGTTATCTGTTACCTTTTTTTTCCTCTTAATGCATTGCATAAAGATCGGATCGGGAAAAATCGGTATCGGCAGATTGTCAAAATCAAATGATCGGAATCGGATCGGGAGCAAAAAAAGGTGATCGGGACATCCCTAATTGTTACTAACCTCTCTCGTCACCCGTGTTTTTTTTCCCGACACCAATGTATATGAACGGCAAAGGCAGCTTTAGATAGTCAGTGCATGGTGGGATTTTGTTACTTGAGGGATAATAGGTCAGGCAGCAAGCCATTTTCAACATGATGTAGGACAGCTAATAATAATAATAAATGATATTTATATAGCGCCTTTCAAGGGACCCAAGGTCGCTGTACATGGTGGACAAACAAAACAAACAGACAAACAAAAAATAAAGGAAGCCGGGGGACCAAGAAAGGGCTAGGGCCGGAAGGCCAGGGAGCTAAGGCAGCAATGGATTGTCAGCTGGCAGCAGGAATCAAATCAAATCAAATCAAGTTTTATTTATAAAGCACATTTAAAAGCGATTTTTGGTCGAGCCAAAGTGCTGTACATGTAATAAAAACACATTAATACAATCACAATAAAAGACAATAAATTACAACAGATATATATAAAAAAATAAAATAAAAAACACAAGGAAAAGTCAGGAGTCGTACTCCGCTCTAACTAGAAGGCCAGAGAGAAGAAGTGTGTTTTTAGTGTAGATTTAAAAACCCCTAGGGTCTGGGCCGACCTCACATGGAGGGGCAGAGTGTTCCAGAACCTAGGGCCAGTTGCTGCGAAGGCTCGGTGCCCTCGGGTTTTAAGCCTGGTCTTGGGCACTACCAGCAGCAGCTGGTCAGCAGACCTTAAAGCTCTGGCTGGGGTGTAGCGCTGGAGGAGTTCGGCTATATAGGCCGGAGCCAGCCCATTTAGTGCTTTAAAAACAAATAAAAGGATTTTAAAATCAATTCTGAACCGAACTGGAAGCCAGTGTAGTGAGGCCAGAATTGGGGTGATGTGGTCACGCTTTTTGTGGCCAGTCAGCAAACGTGCAGCTGCGTTTTGGACTAGCTGCAGGCGTTTAATTGAGGCCTGGTCCATACCCACATACAGAGTGTTGCAATAGTCCAGTCTTGAGGTTACAAAGGCGTTAATAACTCTTTCTAAGTCATTAAAAGATAAATGCGACTTGGTTTTGGCCAATAGTCTTATTTAAAAAAAGCAGGATTTGACTACGGTGCTGACCTGCTTGTCGAATTTAAAAGTGCTAGTGAAGGTCACTCCAAGGTTCATGACCGAGGGGAGGATGTTTTTTTTGAGAGAGCCCAGAATATCAACCGGAGAGGCCGGAGGTTGGGGTCCAAAAAAGATGACCTCAGTCTTGTTCTCGTTGAGGTTGAGAAAGTTTTTGCTCAGCCAGGATTTTAGCTCTGTTAAGCAGTCCATCAACTGCTGTAGTGAGTGTTTGACATTTGCTTTGAGAGGCAGATAGATCTGTACATCGTCGGCGTAGCAGTGGAAGGGAATATTATGTTTAGTGAGAATTGAACCTAGGGGCAGTATGTACAGTAGAAAAAGGATGGGGCCCAGAATCGAGCCTTGGGGAACCCCACAGGTAAGACGGGCTTTGGCAGAGGAGAAGGCACCTAGCTGTACTGAGAAGCTACGGTCTGTGAGGTAGGACCTGAACCATGCAAGGGCAGAGCCTGTGATGCCAGCGGACTGTTCAAGCCGTGACAACAGGATGCTATGGTCCACAGTGTCAAAGGCAGCTGTCAGGTCTAACAGCACCAAGACAGCTGGGCTACCTGAGTCGGCGGCTAGGAGCAGATCATTAAAAACTCTTAAAAGGGCTGTTTCAGTGCTGTGCATGGGTTTGAAGCCAGACTGAAACTTTTCATGGATTCCATGCATGGTTAAAAAAGACTGCAGCTGGGCGTAGACTACTCGCTCCAGGGCTTTTGATAAAAAAGGTAGCTGGGAGATGGGCCTAAAATCTGCGAGAATGGAGGGGTCGAGATTTTTCTTTTTAAGTAGTGGCTTAACCACAGCATGTTTGAAGGCAGCTGGGACACATCCTGAGCTAAGAGAGGTGTTTAAAAGTAATAAAATACTTGCTCCAACTGAATCAAAAACATCTCTGAGAAGGCGAGAGGGAATGCTGTCTGAGGTGCAGTTTGTCGGCCGCAGGTGCTTGACTACATCCAAGAGAGAAGAGAGGGATATACAGGCTCAAAGTGGTCGAGGACAGCAGGGCACAGAAAAGGAGCAGGATCTGGGATAGCACTAGTGTGGGCTAGCCTAAGAGCAGATACTTTTTCAATAAAAAATGTAAGAAACTTATCACAGAGAGTAGTCGATGGGACAATAGAAGAAACATCACAGGGATTAATGATAGAGTTGAGGACATTAAAAAGAACCTGAGGTTTATGGCTGTTTTTGGAGATTAACAGAGAAATGTGCTCTGTTTTGGCTGCTTTGACTGCCGTCTGGTAGTCAGAAAGGCAAGCACGAAGGATTTCTAGGGAGACATTGAGTTTATCCTTTTTCCATTTTCTCTCTGCACGCCTGCAGGTGCTTCTAAGAGCGCGAGTACAGTCATTGAGCCACGACTCTGAGAGAACTTTGGTGCGTCTAAGCGTAAAAGGAGCAACAGAATCCAGTATTAGTGTGCATGTCGAGTCAAACATGGAGATAAGCTCATCAGCATTAAAAGCACAGTTCACATCTAATTTACAGATCGGAGAAGCATTAAAAACATCAGAGAACTGTGTATCCATTACCTGAACTGGATTTAAAAAAGTGAATTTGAAGCAAGCAGGTGATGGAAACATGGCCGACACTGCAACCAGTTCCAGTTGGATAGAAGAAAGGTGAGTGTTGAGATTATTGCAGAATTGTAAACTTTTAACGTAAGGGTTTTGGGGAAGAGGCCTTCTGAAGCACTGAAAGCGCTTGTGTTGTGGTTCACCTTTTCCAAGCATTTGATACAGTAGGAAATGGTGACATCTGCTGTTGAAACACTGGTATTGCAAGTGGCTTTCTGCATTTAATGTGAGGCCCGGATGAACCTGTGGAGAGATGTGCGTTTCGAGTGTACCGTCAGCACTCATACTAACTGGTGGTGTTATATTGAAGACATAAATGTAGATTATGGTTGCTGCTTGCTATAATGAGCTAGCATGGATGTCTAAAGAGAGTGTTAAGTGACGTAGACAAATATGTGACGTGGAGCAGCATGCTAGCTAAAAATGTCTGCTGGTTTTTAGCTAGGTAGTTGGCTAAACCAAGATGACATTAGTTTTAGGTTGGATATTTAACAGACATTCAGTCAAAGGGTTACACTTGATAGACCGTGAATAAATAACCGTTTGAAAGCAGTGGTGTAAATTAACTAAGTACATTTACTCAGTACAAAGTAAATATAATTGTTAGGTAGGCCTACTTGTACTTGAGTATTTCAATGTTTTGCTACTTTGTACTTCTACCCCACTACAGTTCAGAGGTAAATTGTTAACTTTTACTCCACCCATTTTTTTTACTACCTTTAGTTACTTTACAGATTTGGATAAATAGGCCTAATGTGAAATATAATCAACTCTTAAATCAGACTTTAGTTCCACCTGGAGTAAATTCACAAGCTACCCTGCAGTATACAAAGTCATTAAAACTAGCTGCACCTTTACCAGCTTTGATAACACTTTTAATGCATCAATCATAATAAAACATATCATATATATTATTCTGAAATGGACCAATCTGCAGAATGACTACTTTTAATTTTGGTACTTTAAGTATATGTAGGCCTATATGCCAATACTTTTGTACTTTCACTTGAGTAACATTTTGAATGCAGGACTATTCCTACACTTTAGTACTTCTAATTATACTCAGTAACCACAAGATCTGAGTACTTCCCCCACCTCTGTTTGAAAGACACAAAACCATTTATTGTCATTACTTTCACGCTAACTTGCCAGTATTAGTGAACATGTATTTAACTAAAATGTAAAAAGAAGATACATTTCAGATTTTTGTATGACAACCCAGCAGTCTCCTTTCTTGCAGATTCAGATTTGTAGGCTATTCCTACACTATAAGAGAAGGAACACCTCTTGGGATTGTAATGCTTTTTCTATTTTATCTGGATATATTTATTTAATGTTTTTTGATGAAAGCCTCGAAGACTTTATGAGTCAAAATCAATGCAAAATTGTTATACCACAGGGTACAAGTAGTTCACACTGCTTTTATTAGATTTTAATCCACCTTTCATTTAACATTCATATCATCGAACTGTATTTTCATTGAATTATTCATTAATAATTCAATGAAAATATAGTTTGAAAAGTCTTAATTCTTTCCAATGGTATTCATGTCATGTAACTCCTTAACCATACCATATGTTATAAGTGCACTCAATGAAAATGAGACCCAACTCTTTTTGTTTGAATTTAGGTCTTCTTTTATTGTATACAAACATTGTTATCACAAACACCAATAACATTGCACAATCATCAAATAGTTTTGTGTACTTTTCCTCTAAAATAACTTTAACATATCACCCATACTAAAAACCAAAAAACCTTTTTCTAATTGTAAACCATACTGGCAAAAAAGCTTGCTATATTCAGTTTTTTTCAAATATTAAAACAATTTTAATAATAGTCTAGTCAATAAATAAGTGCACCATTTAAAACATTTTATAAAAAAAGCTACTAGGATTACATGCAAAAAGTTTAGCAACCATTGGAGGAGCATTATTGTAGAAATATGAAATAAAGTGCAAGATATGTGCAAAGGTTGTTGACGTCGCTGAGCTATTATGGAAGGACTTGCATACGTTTGATAGAAGTGTGGATTTCTCAGCAGACCTTGAGTTTGTCCTCTTGGAGAAGAAACTCATCCAGGTAGCGCTGCACCTTGGTCAGAGTCAGCTGGAGCCGGCTGTCGGGGAAGTTGGTGTTGGACGTCTCTCCTCTGGGTCGTGCCTGGATGGGACAGTCCATAGTCAGGGTGAAGGAACGAACCCTTCCCTCCAAACTGGAGACATCAGCCACAATCTGGCCGACGACATCTGTGAAAGGGTTCTGCAGCTCATTTTCTAAATGTCCGAGGTCATGGCAGATACTAGTCAGTCCCTCTATGGAAGGAGTGCTGGTTTCTATCTGTGGATCCAATGGAAACTAAAGAAAAACAAGGAGAACATGTCATTTTATACCTAAACTTTCTAAAAGTGAAGCAGGATAAATATTCCACATGTTTCTTGAAGCACACTTATTAGATTCCACTGTTAATATCTGGCAAATTGTGCTTTTACAACTGCAAGCAAACCTTTGTCCTTACCATCTTGATGTGGACCAGGGTTATCTTGGCTATGGTTATGATGCTTTGTATACTATTTCTGGTGGAGTCTCTCTTTGTTAGAAATCTTGAGCACCCAGGAGCCACCAAAGAGACATAAAGAAGGGCCAGGAAGATGTACATCCTAAAAAAGAATCAGTTATATAAATAAAGACACCACAATAAAACTAAAATTCATGCATTTCAAATTGCATTTTTTAAATACATTCATTTTTTTAAATAGATTATACATTTATTAAAGAGTTTCTATCCTCTCAATAATGGTCTCATAAACTGTAAAATATGATCTTACCTTTTGTTTTCCCACTGGTGGTTTTGCTCCTGTAACACTGAATGATAGTGAGATGACACATGCTGCTTTGCAGGTTTCCCCCATTGAAATAGTCTCTGGATTCATTCCTAATGCCCTCCTCTCTCCTCCCCTGACTCAAACCTGAACCTGACCCTTCCAGGTCAACATCTCGTCATACAGGAAGTTAACACACCAAATCCTGTAAGGTGATTTCACTTGAAACACACGTCTGCTGATGTAAGCCTGTTTTTGTTGTTAAAGTTCAATCTAATAATAATAATAATTAAAGCTGCAAGCAGCGTTGAGCGGGTCTTCGACGCTCCGCAGGCTGTTGTCCGCACGTCAAGGTGTGTAGGTGTCTCGAGGACTCGGCCAACGTGGGAAGTTTCAGGCCGATGGGACAATGTATTTAGGAGTTACAGCAGTATCATAAACATTGTGTTTGATGGCGAGTGATCTGTCTCCATGGCAACGGAATTTGATGACACCCCATACTACGCTTAGATGTGTTGAGGGCTGCATCGTTATCAAACCTGTAAAGTTGTGTGCCGTTTGGAGCATGTTAACTGGAGTTATGAGAAAACCGTGTTTCACGGCGACCATTTTGTTACCATAGCAACGACATTTGACGAAATCTAAAAACTGACACATATATGTGTCGAGGGCTTGACGGTTAGCACACATGTGACATTTGAACCCTTTTTGACCATTTACAGAGGAGTTAGAGCAATATCGTGCTTAACAGCGAGGGATGCGTTGCCATGGCAACAGCTTTTGAGGAAAAGTTACTTTTGTCATATTGAGGTGTTGAGGGCCGGACCATTAACTCATCTGAAGTCTGGTGCCGTTTTGAACCTTTTCCATTGAATTAAGACAACATCGTGTTTTACGGCGTGGGATGCGTTGCCATGGCAACGGCATATGATGACATCCCAGAATTGGCGTAGAGCTGTTGTGGGAGGGACTAGTAGTCGTCATCTGAAGTCTGGTGCAGTTTGGACCATTTTCCAATGACTTAAGACAACATCGTGTTTTATGGCGACTGATGCGTTGCCAAGGAAACGGCATACGGTGAGATCTCAGATTTCACGTAGAGCTGTTGAGGGCCGGACCATTAACTGTCATCTGAAGTCTGGTGCCGTTTTGAACCTTTTCCATTGATTTAAGACAACATCGTGTTTTATGGCGAGTGATGCGTTGCCATGGAAACGGCATACGGTGAGATCTCAGATTTCACGTAGAGCTGTTGAGGGCCGGACCATTAACTGTCATCTGAAGTCTGGTGCCGTTTTGAACCTTTTCCATTGAATTAAGAGAACATCGTGTTTTAAGGCGTGGGATGCGTTGCCATGGAAACGGCATACGGTGAGATCTCAGATTTCACGTAGAGCTGTTGAGTCATGGACCGGTGATATAAAAGTGAAGATTGGGGGACGATGGGACCGTGTCCATTGGACTTACAGCGACACCGTGTTTTATGGCGAGGAATGCGTTGCCATGGAAACGGCATACGGTGAGATCTCAGATTTCACGTAGAGCTGTTGAGTCATGGACCAGTGATATAAAGGTGAAGATTGGGGGACGATGGGACCGTGTCCATTGGATTTACAGCGACACCGTGTTTTATGGCGAGGGATTCGTTGCCATGGTAACGCCATATTAAGTAACATCAAATTTGATGAAGAGCTGTTCAGGGCCGCAGTGTTAACCATCATGTGAAGTTTGGTGGCGTTCTGAGTATGTCAGTTGGCGTTATGACATCATCGTGTTCCATGGCGAGGGATCGCCTAGCATCGGAGCGAACGCAAACTTTGGCGCCAATTCACGGCTATGCCGTGCGAAAGAAAAAAACTTCCGTGATAACTTTGAATTGCCCATGTCTCGAGACGCTACCCGACGAATTTCGAGTCGTACGGATAAAGTCCCTGGGAGAAGATAGATTTCGTGCGTAGGACGAAAAACGCGATAAATCGCGTTTTTCCGACACCAAATTCAAAATGGCCGGCTTCCTGTACGTTATTTTATACCCCTCCAAGAGGCTTTTTGGTTTGTCTCCGCACCCTAGATATGCGTAGCGAGTTTCGTTCGTTTACGTGAAAGTTAAAGTGGGGGGAGTTTACGTTAAAAACGGAAGTGGGCGTGGCCTACGCAATTTTTTACGCAAAGTTCCGGAACCAATTACACATCTGAAGTTGCACCACTTCTGACGCGCGTGCAACATTTGGTGAGTTTTCACATATGTTGCGGGGGTCAAAGGTTTATCGGTCGCTGCGCAACCGATTTCAATAGGGTCTTCGCCGACCTAGGTCTCAGACCCTAATAAGCTTTATTTGTATAGCACTTTTCATGCATCAGGTGCAGCTCAAAGTGCTTTAAAAAGGCACAAATCACAATTTAAAACACAACCAGTTTTACATGCAGCAATAAACAAAACAAAACACATCATGACATACTTAAAAGGTATGATAAAAAAAAACACAATGAAATGGTGATCCCTCTCTGTAAAATAATATAAGACCAAATCAATAAATAGGATAAAATATAAATACCTATTAAATAATCAAAATAACATTAAAATAGAATCCAAATAAGACAATAATAATACAAATGAAATAATGAATAATAATAATAATAAAATGGTCAAATTAAGTCGAGGCCTATAAAAAAAATATATATAAATAACCAAATATTAAAATAATAAAAGACTATTTAACAATTGTCTATTATTCTAACCCTAATTTAAAAATGATGTGTATTTAACTGTCATTTAAATATGTTTGTACTGTTTCATGTGTGAGTAGATTGTAGCTTGAACTACCATGCAGTGCAAACACCCTAGACCTTTTGTGCACAAATAACAAATAGATAATGTGAATCACAAAATGGAGCAATAAAGAATCAGGAAATAAAGCTATTTTAAACTCAGGTCAAATCCTTTAAGTTTTGCACTTGTTTCTGACCATCTTTAACAGTCCTCTGTGTCTCTGAAAGCATTGATCATATGTTTGAGATATGCGTGGAATGAAGAACTGTGAAAGGAATTGTCTACTTGAACGTAGTTCCTTACACGTTTCCGACATGTATAACAACTGTTAGAGGCAAAGTTAAAAATAGAAACATAGTAACGTCACACACACAACACACGACACATGCATTTCCAAACATTTGGTCTACCTATGCTGTAAAATGTATTATCTCTTCGATTTACACACGGCATCTATTGCACGTCTGTCCGTCCTGGGAGAGGGATCCCTCCTCTGATGCTCTCCCTGAGGTTTCTCCCATTTCCCCCTTTAAACTGTGGGGTTTCTTTGGAAGTGTTTCCTTGTACGATGTGAGGGTCTAAGGACAGAGGGTGTCGTATTGTCATACTGATATTCTGTACAAACTGTGAAGTCCACTGAGACAAATGTAACATTTGTGATATTGGGCTATATAAATAGACATTGATTGATTGATTGATTGATTGATTAAGCCTTCAAGACATTTTGTGTTTGCAGGTCTGTTGTTAATAATTACACCTAATATACTGACCTATTTATTTGATCGGTACATTAGCTGAAACATGGAGCCATTGGCTAATTGTAGGCCCTAGTTATTTTTGGTACATTTCTAAATGTGTTTTACTTCTGAGGGAAACAACAACGTTTTTTTTCACGCAATATATCTTTTTTTAATGGATGAATTATGTTTTTCAATCACTGAGATGACTATGGTAGTAAACCTATTCTTTTGAAGCTCATTGTTCTTGTCTTTACCTTCTTATCCCCCCCTTTTAAACTCAGTGACTCAGTGGCACAATATTCCCAGAACTGAAATCGACGTCAATAGTTTTGTCAGAGAGGAAGAATCATGAAGTGTACTTTGCCAAAACAAACAGTGTCATAATCCAGGTGGGCCCTCTGCACGGATCGTGGAAATACATCACTACTTTATGTCGGAGAAACAATGCAGAGGGAAATACTGATGGAAACTAGAATGGAGAAATGGACCTCCTTTTAATTGTCTTTTTAACCATAGAACAACTTATCGGCACAGGAAATAGCTGTGGTTTAATACTTAGGATTCTAAAGCTCCCTCAGGGTCAGATATGACACACACTTTTGATTAGTTCAGTGATTGATTGTCAAAGTGTATGTTCCTTGGAATCTTGGAAAACAATTGGTATATGTCTTCCATGATATCACTTATCTTTTATTTATTTTCCAGCCAATGCATACCATTCTGTAGGGACCTGGAACTGAAGGGTTGCCGGTTCACATCCCGATCGGACCAAAAGAAAAACGGAGTGTGGACTGGTAGCTGCTGGAGAGGTGCAGTTCACCCCCTGGGCACTGCCGAGGCGCCCTTGAGCAAGGCACCGAACCCCTAACTGACCTTTGGCGCCGGACCAACCGCTCTAGACCTCTCCAAAAATGCAATCATCTTCTTCTTCTTCTTATCAACTGATACAGGAAAGGCAATTCTCTATAGAGCCCCTTTTAGACTTTGGTGATACACTAACGTCTCCTTTTGCACCAAAACAAGGTTAGTATTTTTACTAAAATTTACTAATATTCTTACTAATATTTACCTAATATTTCTACTAGTTTTTACTAATATCTTTACTATTTTTTTTATTTCTAAGGGAAATATCTTGACTGTTGGATGGATTATGAGAGTTTGAGACATTGTCCGACCTCAAGATGAATTCTAATAACTTGATTTGTCTTTTGTGTAAATGTAATAAATAAACTACTGAGTTAAGTTAGTGTTACCTCGACCTCAAGTGTTTGCGCTTTTCATATTCAAACAGGGTTTCTGAAAAGTAAAGAAGAAATACTTTTGAATC